GCGTAACGGTGATATTATTAATCGGGAGACGCGAGTAGTATGTGTTGTTCGTAGAATTTCGCTTTGCGTCGACTGAAAAAGAAGATTCTGTTGCGGAATTTGTGGGGCCACTTTGTAACATTTGCTTGGATTTGACCGACGAATGAGTGGAGGCAACGAATCTCTAGGAAGACTCGTTTGGGAGAAGATCTGTGTCCATCTTTTGTAACTACGATGCAGATTAGAGTTTTGCTTCCCTGTTCAATGGTCCGTGACCGGTCAGTTGGCATTTCTGAATTAACGAATCCGCAGCGAAGGCTTCTTCCTTTCACGGGTAGAGATAAAGGTAGCGTCTCATAATACGATGCACACTGGTGCGGGGAATCTTGATCAACGGAGAAACCTGAGTTATTGACGAAGATGCCATGATGCTCTGTGACTGAATTTGCTCGACGGCATTCTGCACAATGGGCACTCTTTCATCACCCAGAGACTTTCTCCCTTTGCCAGGAAAATCCAGTACAGATCCAGTGGACTCAAATTTCGCAATCAAGCGTGTAATGGTCGACACGGTGAAAGGATCTTTGATGGGACCATGTTTGATTTTGTAAACACGACGTGCAGCGGTAGCGCTTTAGCCAGGGGAATAATAGCCTCACCTGCCTGTTGAAAAATCACACCTTGTTTCTAAGTTAATTTCTCCCTCAAATGGTAGGAACGTGGATACAAGTGAAGTGTTTCTTCCAGTCGAGGTCACCTACCACTTAGTCATAGTGGTACTGGACGATTAGCTGAGTTTCAAAGATGGAGCGAACTCCCACTGGATCCACGCTTAAACAGCTTTGGAGTACAAAAGTCAAACTTGTGTTGCGATCATTTTCTGCTTATATTCCGGAAGTGGTCAGATTTGTACAAGGTCTTGATGGAGTACGTACCCCAGTACACTAACTATTGTTGATATTACCGTGTCACACAGGTTAGATGATGTCAGACTAACTTGTCTTGCTCACTAACGTTCAGTGTCGCCTCGTTTCCCGGTGTAACTGTTTCAGTTTGCTAGCAACCATCGGCAAAGACAGGATAACGAAGATGGGGTTGGAGTGACAGAGAGTGAACTTGGACAGTGGGGTTACCCAAGGTAGGCCAGTGAGTGCAAGCACTCTGGCGATCACAAAATGTGTCTCCAACAATCTCCAGCACGAGACACGGAAGGAAATTTCTGGAAGCATGATACTCCACGGCAGATTCGATCAACCGGTGCATCGAACTGGATCCAATTTACACAGCCCTATGTGCAAAAGGCTATCACCGCAACCGGAACACCGAATATTGGATCCACAAACAAAGAAACAAGAAACTCCTTTGGGGCAAATCAATAAAGGTCACAAGCCGGGAGGCGAAAGGACAAAGGTCACTCCAGCACCGACCAGATTACGACGGCAGGGGATGCCAAGCTCAAAAGCCACATGGGCATCGGCGAATGGGGACACAAAACGACGGAGTAACCAATGGAACCACCCTACCGAACAACTAATCGCGATCAAACGTCATCCCCTGCCACCAGCACGTATATTAACACTACTCAACGCACAATTACTAACCCACCGCTACGCACTACTACGCTACCCAATGACGCACTGATGATATCACCTCATGAAACGTTTGCAATCAAATTGCCCAGCTCAGCGAACAAACCAACGACAACGGGACTAGGTTGACAACGATATTTTCCAATCTTTATACGTTGTGCGACTACGGCGCTAGTGACTTTTTCGGCTGCGAGCCACCGCTCATTCATTACCGGCGTTGTTTTCGTTAGTATCTCTATTAACTTAATCTAGTCAGACTTCCATGAAATTATCACTAAGCACGTGACCAGTTACCTTGCACTATTCCTCTGGTACCGGGCGGAGACAATCATGGTTGCAAACCGACAGTATCTATGCATTCAATCGAGTCATTTTGCTGAACACATGGAACAGACCATCAGAATCCACGTTTGTGATCGACATTTTTGACGCCGGTGACGTAACAAAACCTAGACAGTGACACAAATGCGGAATGGTCTGGCTTATTCTACCGAATTGTGTGCACGTATTCCTTTCTTTGTCTGACCACGATTAGCTCTGCCTTGAGCTGATTCACTGTAAACGACCAGTAACGCAGAATTCACATCTACGGGGTGTCTCATAATAGACGCAAAAAATAGTACCCATGTCAAAACTTTAACAGCAATTCAAAAAATTTTAATTTTTCAAGCGGTGCATCATGGAGATTTACTGTAAACAAACTGGCATTACAAAAGATTTTGAAAAAACCCATTTTTTTCTTCTATAACAAGTTGGAGGCGGTATGAGATGTGAGACAGCATGCTTAACTTCTTCAAGCGTCACCCGTGCACACTCCTCTTCAATTCTTGCTCTTAACTCCAGCAAATTCTTCGGTTTATTTTTATGATATACGCGAGCCTTGATACGGGTAGAGATGAAGGTGGCGTCTCATAATACGATGCACGCTGGCGCGGGAAACGGCGGTCAACTGAGACACCTGAATTATTGACGAAGATGGCATGGTGCTCTGGGACTGAAGTTATTTGACGGTATTATGTACACTGGGCGCTCTTTCCCAGACCAGAGACTTTCTCCCTTTGCCAGGAAAATCCAGTACAGATCCAGTGGACTCAAATTTCGCAATCAAGCGTGTAATGGTCGGTGAAAGGAGCTTTAGCCAGGGGAATAATAGCCTCACAATTTCAATGCGCGTACTGGCATCCATCGTAACCAAAAAATGCAGACAAATGCATGCAAAACCTTCTTTATGCGGCTAATAGTAACAAAATATTTTGTTATCCTTTCTTTGATTTGCTACGTTTATTCACCCAAGAGTTTATTTTGAGACCTCTTGGATTTCATGGAGTTTCAGGTTCACTCACTTTGTTCAGTTCACCTCATTTCGATTAATCAGCCATAGGGCATGGACCCAGGGTACATGAACAGCATTCCAACAGCTGCAGTTTTGATCACCAGAATATGGAAAACCGTTGGAAATGCAGCCATGCATTGAAGCCCTGTTACTAACACGCTGACGCTATTCAAAACCACCCTCGCTTGTGAGGCATTGGTGGTCAGAAACCTGAAGACGCCTCACATCATCTGTCCGCAGAGGCCATGTCTCGCACCCATACAATAACACAGCCCAGTGGTAAGTTCATTCTCGTGGTCTGAAGCTGTTGTCAACTCATTTGGTAAGAGTATTCATACTTCGTTGCTCTCGGTCACTTCCACTCAGTAAAGTACTAGGCAGAAAAAGCTCTGCAACTCAAGTGGTCCCCTGGCTTGAGGAGTACACGTCTGACCAGCGTAACCGATGGTCACGAGTAGTCCTAAAACCATCTGACATACATAAGGGTACTCCCACGGGTATATGCCCAGTAATAAACGAATACTAGAACATATTTATAGGATATAATGCATAGCATCTACATGTGTTACACTGATTTTAGAGATTCCCAGGTGAACATTTTGGAATTCCGCAAAGACGGTGACTTGGTGAGATTTTTCAACCCATAACAATACCTGTGGAAATTTCTCTTACTGTAAATAAAAATTATTGGTCGCAACATCTTATCCGCTGCACAGGATTTACCTGTCGTGGGTTAAGCTCATTGTCTTGCAGCAAAAAAAACATAAAGAACAGCCCTGAAACACACGAATGAAGAGAGGCCTATAGTGTTTTTCTCCCAGTCAAGGAAAAAGAGCTAATTCACATACACGATTCAGCAATGTAAACCAACACAGGTTCCCGGACCAAGAGCAAGAATTTGTACATCAGTTTGACAATTTTACTCATGTGGAAACGCTGTCAAGTTTTACTGTAATGATAACCTGTTTTTCTAGCGACTCTGGAACCCATAACATAGGAATGTTCAAATTATTTAATTTATTGAAATAGCTACTTGAATTATGTAAGTAGTGTGTAAATTATTCGAGTATTTTATTGCAGCGCAGTTTCTTCAAGTTTGTCCTGCAAAACACGTTAAGTGCGTTTGTTCGGTGCGCTCCATATTGTTATACGGATCAGAAGCCTGACCGTTGCGCTTTGTGGACATCAAAAGACTCTCAGTGTTTGACCACCAATGTCTTCGGACTATTGCCCGAGTCTGGTAGGAACACCAAACCAGTAATGCAGCTGTTCTTTGACAGAACTAACTCGCCCGTGATAGATGAATTGATCACACTCCACAGGTTCCGCTATTTTGGTTATATGCTGCACAAGACGGTCAACTGGAATCTTTGAAGAGCATTTTTTACACAACCACGCTAAGAGTGGAAACGGACTACCGGTGTTCAAGCAATGACTTGACAGTGAATTATGGAAGCCATCATCAGTAGATTCAACTACGCTGGTCACTGACGTCTCCCTGGATGGAGAATGCAAAAAGGGAAACTTCAATGGCTAGAAGCATTGCCAGGCATAACCAAGTCGGGCGCTCAACGAAGTTCATTCAACCAAGCTATTGCCTTCAGCGGGTAGCTCCCCTCCCAACCTTCTGAGTGAATATTCCACCGATTATTTCAGCTACCGCCTACAATGCACAGCTACCTACTTTACCTTCCAAGTTCAGTGGCAAACGAAGGGGCGGCAGATAAAACTGCTGTAGGGCAAATGTTGGGCTTTTTTGCAGCTGAAGATGAGTTGAGCCGGCTAGAAATCCTATTTATGTTGCCTACGCTCCCGGACGGAACAAACGACATATGCACCCCGGAATGATTGTGATAAGCTAGCACTAAGTCCCTTCCACATCCACCTTTACTCTGTTCTTTACAATAAGCCTTTCTAATAAATCACGGTTGTACGACAGTGAAGCATCGGTGTTGAACGCTGATGTCATGCTGCCGATGATGATGATGATGCCAATAGAGCGAATTGAGTTACTTCGCTTCCTGATTTACTGAGTAGGTCATCACGCGCCATTGGCCTGATCGCAGTTCAATTATCCCTGCGTGCTTGCAACCAGACAAATGTCCAACTCTGCGGATTCCGGCGCACTATCCGACCCGTCAACTGGTCACTTGTCGCCACCCAAAGTGGGATCCAAACTTCCAGACTCCACCGGCGATCGTCTAACAAGTTGCCACCAACTATTCGGTCTTAACAATCGACTGTTCGACTGAAACCTGACGTTTTTCATCATCAGCGGTGCGAGTAAATTACATGTCCTTCCAGTTGATGTCCGGAGAGTCAGTCCTTTGAATGCAGTGAGACTGGAACAATTTGCCCACAAAACGCGTGGATTCGCATGTACTCAGCTCCGGACTCCAGGTTCACCTTGATTTCACACGGACACACTGAGGCCATTTCAACTACTCATACGTGAAGCCAAGGCACTCCAACTTGAAGGACCGGAAATGCCCAAAAGTATTATGTACATTGCCTTATAGAACGATAAAGTACGCAAATTAACATGGAATTTGGTTTCCGTTACCTCATGGCCCTGTTCTTCACGTAAGAATGCACGTCAGCGCATGTTATCTAGAATCATGTCATTCCTTATTGTATCATTATGCATGGATGAACCAAGTTTGCCTGGTTCCACTGCAAGGGGGCTGCCGGGTTGGCTAGTACGCAGCGGCCACCTTACGATCGTCTAGTTAGGATGAATGACCAAGAAACGCAACGAGTTAGTACAACCTATGTGCAGACACACAGAAAAGGTGTCCCATGAAATGCCGTGCAGACTGGAAGATGGATGGGATCAAATGCTCTCGTTTTACCCCCGAGAGATGGTTCAGGGTTGTAATCGACTTCGGTAAAACTCGGTAAAACTTGAGTTTACCGAAGGCAAGACAATATGAGTACAATCGCCATCATTCGGGTAGTGAAGCCAAAGGGTGTGGTCAGCCAGTGATGTGGTCCTGAATGGCAGCTACTTTGCACAGTCTGTAGGCCAGATTAAGGCAGCTGTGAGCACACATGGTCAATCACATGAGGAACTGTTGCACCGGGAACCATCCAATCACATTACATCGCTTAGAGGAATATATGCTCCTGCTAAGAGGTTCACACTCACTCGTGAGAAATCAGTTCATCAAAACTTAGGACAAGTGAATGGGAATGCTACCCGATTCACCGCGTCTCGATAAAATACATGTCTAAACCATCTTGCTCAAGGGGAGGACAAAAACGAGAGCAATAGGGCACTGTCAGCACAGCCATCTTCTTCTATCGACACACTGAACCTGATCATATCAATCACACATGAGCTAGGCACACTGGAAAACGCTGGTTTTTTATCACAAAATTGAGAAAGACTTGGGAAAATCCTTGACACACAGCTGCGCTGGTCCTATCTTATAGATATCCACTATGGGGTGCCCCGGGAAGTTGAGGTGTCGCTATTTAGGCTGACCTTCAGACCAAAAATGACTGATTTCTCATGCTACTCCATTACAAATTCCAAAAGGAAGAAGTGTGACTTAGGCAACCACAATCACAGCTCTATAGCCTATCCGAATAGGCTTCAGTCGCAATGCCGGATTTTGTGTTGTTCGATTTTCCGGCATACAAGACCCCGGACACGAATGCAGCGAGTTACGGTTAGAATATGAAAGTCGGTGGATGCTCGAATCCAGATTCAGTTGATCAATTCCAACTTGACAGAAATCAGGAGACGAAACTCCGTGCTTCTGTGTCCAAAAACGGGTTACCCCTCGGATGGGACTGAAAGAAAATCATTCATGCAAACATCAATGTGAAGTGAGAGCCGACACGATTTTGGCCATATATGCTCCCCTTTTTGCCTACTTTTTCGAGATAGATCAGTGCATGTCAGCAGGACACATTCTTGACCATTTATGAAGTTTGAACTAATGGCATGATGTGTGGACATGTTGCATATTGGAAGTTCTGAACTACTAAGTTAGACCGAGTGGACATTTCCATCTCTAAGCTTGAGGTGGTTCAGTGATTAGGGCACAGACTCACTGACCGAAAGATCCTGGTTCAAACCCAACCTCGGCATCTCGACTGGTCTTGTGTAGGCTTGAGCAAACTGACTGCATCTCCACCCTCATGCTTCCTTCTTTGTGTGCCAGTGGAATATCTTTTGCACTTGAGAATCGTATGTGACTGTGCTGAATAGCTCGAACAAGCAAGCAGTTATTGACTTTCTTCATCGATCGATTGATCCGCGCTCTGACGTCATACACAGTGCCCGAGCGTGAAAATATTTGTCTGAATGAATGCCGTTCACCGGTAGAGTGGTTGGATGTCCAAATGGGAATCCTGACACGGTAAAGAACGTTTGGTGTGGAGCAACCCGTTTAATCCCATCGAGATAGTTGAGGACGCTCCCAGAGGAAGTGCACTTGAGTGCGGCTTCTAAAAATCGCCCAACACAGACAATAGTGAGTACCAGATAATTTATCTGTTCAGTCGGTTATCTACTTTTGAGTCTGGATCAAGAAACATAGCTGGGGATAGAGTATTGCCACAATCTGCATTATCATATTGTCTGCTCGCTGCGTGACAGAACCGTAACATTTTTCCAGTTTACTTTTTTGTGACGTTTACACCGTTCTCAAGGATTAGATATCTAACATTTACGCCTCTAAAAATCCACACGTTCCAACCTCCCACCTGGAGGACCAGGAGACTGTTTTCGTCAGACTTCTAGCCACGGCCCGACCTGGTATGAGAGACTCTGTGAGTGTCACGGAGACACTCCCCAGTATAGCTCAATGGAGGTGTGCAAACCGTTACGCCACGGTTAGTTTCGCTCTCTCCCTGACAGATATTGACGGTAAGATAAACATAAGCTCGACTTTTGATAATAGCATGCCTGCGACGGCTTTCTACCGGAACCCTGGGAGTATCACTAGAGTTAGTAAGTCAGCTTCGGAGTCGAAGAGGGGTGAGATGCAGGCGCATTCGTTACAATCAGTTGAAATCTACCACTCAGTTGCAACTAAAAAGAACTCCTAGATGCTTAGCCGCCGTACCCATCCCAAGAAAGCAGGAGGGTTGAGAAACTGTCAAGTTGCTTGAGCCTAGACAAAAGCTATAGAGATGCTGAGGACTCAGACCATGGATGTTCCTTTCAATAGGTTCGTTCTTTAATCACCGCGCCATCTTGACGTCTGTGCTCTAACCGCCCTTGATTGATGAAACAAGGTGCTGGTCAATGCAACCTAAGGTCCGTCCATCATCATTCAAGGATATGCGGAATTGTTAAATTTATGTACAACGATGTTCCGACCAATTTAGTTAGAATCTAAACAGAAGGCTTGTCCAAAGCTCTGCAAGAAAGTGACAAAGAATGTACAACAGGTTACGTTCTGGTTAGACAGACTTTCCCGTGAATTTGAACTGTCAAAAAAGGGGATGAATTTGACGACTGGAATTACAGCAAATCATCCGAGGTGGATTCTTGGTTCGGCAAGATATTTTTGTCCCATTCGTTTTTGGATGTTGGACACAGGTGTAGACTGAGGCGTTCGTATTATTTTGTTCGTTAACTGAATGAAGAAATTTGGAATATTGTTCGGCTTGGCGCATCTTCTGTGCGTGGAACGAAGATGTGTTCCAGAGCCTTGGAACAGACGGAGAGTTGGCAGAAGAACCAGGTGTTCGTAGGGTAGAAGCAATGGACTGACACTCTTCAAATCGTTTTGGCCAATTCTGAACTGGATTAGGACCTGAGCTGCTAACTGGATGTAGTAAAGTCTCTGTATTGGGGAAAATGCTTTCAAGTTCGTCAGAATTATGATTACAGCTGTTGTGTGCCGAGGGTGTTTGGTACAACTTGTAACTGTTTATCCCGTACATTCTGCATGGCTTGCGAAAGACTTTCATTCTTGCAGGTCTTGAACGGTTCGCACCACTATGAGCCACGATTTTTGACGGTGCTAAACGAGTCGAGAAAACTAGGGGTTGACTACGCCGATATGGTGGTCTGGCGGTTGCGTGGAGTGGGCGGCCCCTGCTACGTTTTCGACTTGCTCGGGGAATTATTCCTCCCCCGGGGGTTTGGCAAGCGTTTTCAGTTTTCTGTACTGCACCAAATGTACACGAGTACCCTTCTGGGGGGTCCTGATAAGCTTGTGGGTTATAGCCTTTGACTGGATTTCCTTCAATTTTGTCTCCTTTTATACCGGCGTTTTTGTTCTTCCGCGCCAAACCGATACAACAGTACTTAACGTTTGACTGCGACCCATCGGATTCGGTAGGTGGCTTACTGTATTCTGGACTAGGTTGGGGTGAACAGCCTGCGCTTTGCCTTGCCGTTTCAGATTTTGGACAGCCGTTTTGCTGAAAGGACCCCGAATGTTCCAAGGCGGGCGTCTTTGGTCCGTCTCCTTCGAGGCAAGAGATTTCCGGTATCCGAGTCCTTGATTCGGCCTTGGAGATTCCGACCTCTCGTATGTTGTCGCTTCTAATGCAGCTATCGGCAAGCGACCCAAATCCACTGTCGGAGGAAACATTCGCCGCTGTACATTCCGTTCTGCCGGACCCTTCCAGTTCTGATTTCACCGTGGATGTGTGTTTGCGGCGGCTATGCATGTCTCCCAGAAGTACTCTGATGGATTTGCCCAGTTCGGCATACCTGACAAGCAGTTCTTCTAGTTGGCTTTCCGTGGCCTCATCTAGAAATTGGCGAAATAGTTCGCAGCGATTTGGGTGCACATCTGTCGGTGAATTCCTAACTTGTGAGTGTGGGAAGGTGACCATCAATGTTTCGCAACGATAGGCCTCTATAAATTTCTTCAGTAGGTTGACAAGTTCCCGTTTGCGTTTGATTTGGTGGATTTCAGGCAAACGGTGCTCACTTCCACCCGTTTCAGGGCTCAAAAGTTCACCACCTCTATCACCGAGGCTAGTTCTGATGGCCATGTTTGATAACATTCTGCCGGCACGATGAACAAAACGCGTGAGAATATCGACTTCGCGTATTTCATTCCGAAAAGAGCGTTTTTCACCTAGCAAGCCGATAGAAGCCTCCTCACATTCTCGCGACAATCGGTCCTTTATTCGAGACAGATAGACTGAGAATGCTTGTCTGGCCTCGAATGCTGAGAGCTCGCAGGCTGAAAGCCCCAGATGTTCAGTTTTTCGTTTTGTTGCACCATCCGCGTTCGCTGAGTTTTGACAATTTCTTGCACTCTTCTGTCTAGAAGGTTTTTTGCTTGACTTTACCAAGTTTGTTGTGCTCGACGAATTGGAAACCTTTACTGTTGCAGCATTTTCAACCGGCTCACACACATTTCCAGCCTGCTGACTATTTGTGGGTTTTCTTTGGGTCGAACCAGAACGCCTTACCGGCAGGTCCTTCTTCCGTTGTTCTAAATAAACTCCGGGGATTCTGCAAGGAGGTTCCCCCAGTTTACGCAGAAAAAATGGCATTCGACCAAGGGTTTGAGTGTAACAGAATATCACATGTTGACACTGATCATCCAGTGAATTCGATTTTTTTGAAATTTTGACGGCTTGGTTCAAGTACTGTTGGAGACGTCCGTGTGACATATTGTGCAAAGACGGTTTTGGGCGAGAAACGGAGGTTGCCTTAGGAGTGCGTACGGTTGTAACAAATGTGCTCGTCACGCACTGTTTTGGATCCTTTCCGTTCACACTTCTCAAGTAGGTTTCCAAATCAACTTCTATCAGGGAACTATTGGGGTGGAATTCAATACCGTTGGAAGCACCGGGAGCAAATGTTTCCGATTCAAGGTGAACACCGCGTGCTTTGTCACCTGCCTGTTGCTCAGCCACGTATTGCACAATGTTGTTCAGTGTGAATACTGCAAATGCGGCCGAATATGCTGAAGAAACGGTCGAGTAATTCCCTGTCCTTCTCTTGTCACCGTTTAACTCCTGATCATGACGACTGAAGCTCCATGAGGCAGAGCTGTTTATGCTACACGAACTGCCACTCATACGCCTATCACCCGAAAAGTGAGGCTCTGCTGTGGGCCACAAACTGGCGTACTGTTCCCAGGCTCCAACGTTCGGCACCAGCCTTAACCAACCTCCAGCTCTGGCCGCCTCTTCCTGTAGTCTACGCATTAGATCCACCTCATCTGATGTCATACCGTCCGGGATCAAGTGAGATATCACAGTGCCCGGCCGCCCATTTGGCTGAGGATCCACTTGGCTCGCGGAAGGGGAGGAAGACTGCGCTTGTCGGGATAAAAATGCCCAAGGTTTCATGCTTTCTTTCTTGCCTAAAACAAAAAGGGAACAATGATCAGGTTTTATCAGTCGCGTGCTTTGAAAATATTTCAAGGCATTAATAGACATTCACAATGACCGAAAGCCTATATAAGTAATTTGAGAAACCGTGAATTTGTCAAACATCGTTGTTAGGTCTATTACCTTACAATTTTCCGTAAGATTTTCCGTTTGTGAAAAACATTTCTGAGCAGTTGTATAACAAAAGAAATGGACCCTTCAGAGACAGATGTTGACCCAGAGGCCTGACTACCAATATCGACCACAAGTGGTCAAATTTGAGTATGTGGGCTGGATCACGCCATCCCCTCTCACATCGGTCGCACCAGAGGAAACTAACAGAACCAACTGGGCCTTCTCCATGTGGGTGAGAAGTTCAGCTCTCGACATATACACTCATTTGCAGATCATCATCATCATCACCATCATCATCATCAGTGTCAGCTGTAAGAACCGAGTACTTGTCCTACAGTGGTTATTGGTGCCACAGTTTGGTTCACCGGTGATTTGGGGAGGTTGGATAGGTAGCTGCGCATTGGAGACTAGAGCTGACATAATTGATGCGTAAATACAGCACTGTCGGTGGAGTGTCAAATGGGGATTTGGGAAGGGTGCTAGGATGCACGAGCGCGACTGGGCCATGTCTGACAATGTCTCTAATCATTAGTGTAGCCCGTCTCGGGGTCCCCATCCAGGAAATTTATTTGGTTTTCACGGGAGACTCAAGTGAATCTCTCGTTTATGATGTCTTTCAACTGAATGTGCTGCACACAGACCACCTCATGTTTCAGTTGGCACGTTATTCGAAAAGTCGCAATATATTTTCATAAGGGAAACTACTCACAAGGTCGCTGAAAACTCTTCGACAACCGCTAAGAGTTTTCAACAACCTTGTGAGTAGTTTTCTTTATGAAAAGTGCAATTTTTCTTTACGAAATTAGTTTAGCCGCACAAGGCGCGTTACATGCACGTGACACATCGTGAACATAACGCCAACCTGAAAATCAACGGGTTATACACAGCGTCACCGTCTTTTAAATTCGAATTTCAAACGGATATATCCTTGAAAAACTTTGCATTCATGCTGAGGAAAGTTGGCCTATCCTGTTAGTACCAACCAAATATGATGTGTTTATAACCCACCCTTTGAGTCTCTCAGTGATGTGCAAAGATTCTGTCGGATAAAACTCGCTGCGCTGGACAGCACACGACTTGGCAGAAAGGTTTGAAAGAGATCACGAAGGGTTCGGGTGTTGTTGGTGTTGTACGCCTTCCGGGATGGGGTCCCCTTGACCCCGTCATAACTGTAGGGCTTTTAATACAACTATATATATATATATATATATATATAAATAGACGAACCATATGGTTGTACGGCGGTGAAGCATCAGTGCCAACACTGATATTGCTTTCTTTGATGATGACGATGATGATGGTTAGATTGTGAATTGGAACAGAAAGAGTCTAATGAACTTTCACATTACATACAGACAACCTGAACATTTCTAATTCTGTTCTGGCGTATGTATTTTTGTGAACCCTCAGCAAGGCATGCAACACTGGACTCGAGTTTCTCTCTCTGTCCTTGGAGCTCATCAGCAGAACATGTCCGTAGTCCTGCAGAGTTTCGAACGTTGAACATGCGAAACAAGCCTGTCGCCCCTAAACACGTCGAAAGCAACCACCTACAAGTGATCAAAAATTGTACAACCGATTTCAGTCGTTCGTGGCGTCCACTGAATGGGAAACCCTGGGAGGCTGCCTAGTCGCTCGAGATAACCAAGGTATTCAAGGTGTTGGGTAAATAAATCACATCGCTTGTTCAAAAGTGACAGTCCAGTTGTGTCCAGCCTGACACGTTCATCAGAATATCAAATGTTTGCGGATCAACTCCGGCAACCGCCAGGGGAGTTGTCTTTCAAAAGAACAGAACCAGAGTTCCGAGCTCCCTGTTTCTGGCGTGGAATGATTGTGCTAGGACAGGAGTAGAACGTTTGCTTGTCATTGTGGGCTCTCTGCGTACTTATGACACTTATGCGTGGCACATGGCGTTGAATGTACATTTTTGCCATTTAATCTCACATCAGGCCCAGTATGACGGACACTTTGTGCCTGATGTGAGAGTCCTGGTTGTGCCAGCGTCTTGAAGAGCATTCACCATTGTTTGTCCTTTCTTCGGTTGTTGGTCATTAGACGCGTGTTTCCATACCAAAATTTTTACATGCATTGAGATTCATCCCATCTGACTGGAACTGTTGGTGGCATGAGTTCGAATGAGACGCCTCTATCTTTTCTCTCATATTCTCCCGCTACTCTTTCGCATTCATCTCTTGCATTCACTTTTTATGTTTGTGACCATACTATCCAAAAATACATGATAATATAGTGTGAATGCAAGTATTCAAATCCAAGAACAGTATAAAAAATTTCTTGATCTATTGACAAGATGAGTCAAGGTTGTGGATTTCAATCTATGAGTTCATAAGTTCTGGATGCTGAAATCGGTGTACATGTGGATTTGAATAGGATGAATGAGCGAGCTGTTAGCTTGTAATGGTTCTCTTGTTCTAATAACAGTGGAATACGAAGTACTCGATGGTACCTCTTCCTCGATTCGGTGCTCACACAAGATGGGGATGTACAACTGATTCCAGCATATCACACAGAAGATAGTGGAGAGTGGGATCACAAAAGCGAATGCCTTGAAGATGAAATTTCGGTACAAAGTGGAAACTGAAATTGATTGGATGGAGAACATACTTCTCAAGCGAAGGTTGCTGGTAGTGGACGGTTAAAAAACATCGACCTCCTGTGAAATGTACTTTCGGATTCTGCAAAACCTGCACGGTAGTAGATACCCTCAAAATAAGAGGGACGAAATGCTAGCAAGGCATGATGATCTAGGAACCTCACGTTACAAAACACCTGTTTATGACATGATCTGAAGGAACTAGGACGTTGATCCGTTTAATTTTGCTGTATTGAATGCACAGGACCGTTGAAACGATGCTTCAAAGAGTTCCAACATCAGTGTGGAAACTGTGAAGACGAAGAGGCCATAAACAAAGTGTTGGTGATTGAGAACGTTACTGGTCACTCAGTTCCTTAAATCTACCATTCTGCAAGACAGGAGTCCGAAAGAATCGACGCAAGAGATGCTGGATGATGTCCTCGACCTTTCGCATTGCTACTTCTGGTGGAATAAGACTCACATTACAGAACTGCTTGTTCAAGGCTATCCAAGACTCGTTGGCATTTGCTTCTTCACAGGTATCATTTCACTGTCTTCTTCCGGTGAGACTAATCCAGACTGAAAACAGTCAAGAATAGAACAGGAATAATTAGAGCTTACCAGCATTGTCTTTGGAATACATTCTCAGATATTCTTCAGCGGTCTGAAAGCACGTGGGCATCGGAGGTGGGACTGCGGCCTCGCCCTTGGCCGTCATGTGAAGGCTGTTGACTCCACCCTGAGTTTTCCTGGAAGGATCGTGGCAAACCAAACCGACCAAGTTGAACAAGTCTGTCAGCATATGGGACTTCACTTTGAAATCCAGCGGAGTGTCGCAAGCCAAAGACGGTGATAAGTTTACCTGACGTAGGTCGGAAAGTGGGGCGTTGGAGTTCGAAACCATGAAATCATCAGTTCATGGTCATTCCGTATGGGAAAAAGTAATAGTAATTCATTCCCTACTCAAAAGGTTGCTGAAAATTCGTCGACAGCTCACGACCGGTTATACCCTTTTTGGGGAAACTCATCAAGTGGGCGCAGTCCCCGGGTTTCCGTCAACCTTATGTTCTACTTGAAGCCAAATTGCACGAAATTAGCGAAATAGACTGATTTGCAAACTAATCTGGTTTTGCGAGAAACACCTGTAACCTAGGTGTTTCCAGTTTGCAGGTGGGTGCATTTCGCTAATCTCGAGTAATTTGGTTTCAAGTAGAACACAAGGTTGACGGGAACTCGGGGAATGCGCCTACCTTATGGGTCCCAAGAAGGGCGAAACCGGTCGTGGGAGTACGCATTACGAATATACATGAATCACGATATCTCGAATATCGTAGCGACTGAAACATGAATCGGCCTGGTGAAGCACATTCACTTGCCTGGAAACATCACAAACGAGAGATTCAGCTAGGTTCTAGGTGAGTCTCCCGAAAAGACAAATTAATTTGCAAATGAGTGTACATTCGCTAAATTGAGTTTTTTTTTTGAAAAAAAACTTCCATTGGCCACAACTTTTCACTTGCCAAATCAACGCAACCAAAGCAATGCTCTCTGGAGGCGATGCATTTCCTCTCTCTCTCTCTCTCTCTCTCTCTGTCTGTCTGTCTGTCTGTCTGTCTGTCTGTCTGTCTGTCTGTCTGTCTGTCTGTCTGTCTGTCTCTCTAATTGTCTCGAGTCGAATGCCCCATAGTACAAATGAGCTGTCCTTGTCCCCGAAACGTGTGTACTTTATTAATATGACCTGTACGGATAACATTTGTTGATCACCAGAGGTCGCGTGGATGTCGGTGCGACTCGCCTACCAGTACAGGGTCCGCGTGTGCCTGGGTGAATAATCCACAAGATCTGGCTGTTATCAATGTCAGTAACCTTCTCATGTCAGTTTCTATCCAGATTACCTGAAAGAGGGTCTGGCGGTGTAGGCATCTTAAAATGACAGTGACAGGTTAGTACCAAGTCCCTTTCCCGTCCACTTTCGTTCTCTTCTTCACAATAAGGCTTTCGAATGAATTATTGTCGTACGAAAAGTGGATATCAATGTCTGGCTCTTGATGTTATATTGTCGATGATGGTGACCGCGCCAGATGGGTTTTTTAGGCGAAATGCTTTGTCCATCCGCCCACACGCTACTGCAAGTACATTACACACAGCAGTGCAATCAGTGGACTACCGCAGGACTGTCAGAGACTCAGACCGAACTCAGGGACTGAGGGAAAACAGTGGTGAATCGAGGCTAAAAAGCCAATTTCTACATATAGCCGGAAATTGCGGTGAAACTTTGCAGTTTCTCTGGTGATACCGATAAAGTATCGGCCCTCTACAGCCCCCCGAGAATTTTTTTTCACAAAAAGACTACTTTGGCGTTTATACATAAGTACGGACAGTTTGTAAACAAAATTTCTTTCCATCATTGAGAATGCATGTGAACGATACTCGAAACGTTGCTGTCTGTTAGAGCAGCGCATGTCGAATGCACGAATCACAAGCAGTCACGGGCATCTGAGAGCAAAGTAAAATGATAATACATTTGCAGTGGAATTTACAGCGCGATCGGTGTCCTGAATTCGTTGACGCTTCAAACGTTTAACAGTGCGCTTCTTAAGACGCATAAGATTGTAGTTCCACACATGATTCACCAAACCTGATTCATCAAGCCCCGCCCAGACGCTGACCTATGTTGGCATGCGGGTTGTCATTCAGAAAAGGTGTGTGAACCAGCCTCTGGTTGTGCGTTTCTAGGCTGAACGCCTTGTGCCCATCCAGATAACTAATACAGTTCTGTAGGGGCCGCTTCGACGTCTTAGAGTGCGCGTGCGCGTGTGCGTGTCCGTTCATCGATCCACCACCGCTCTGACTTGTGATTGTAGTGGTCGATTGGATGCGTGTCTGATTGGTTGGCAAGCCTGTGTGTCTATCCTTTCGTACACCAGAGAACTGTTTGTGGGATGTCTGGACAGATGACTCATTTGTTTGCTTACCCGCTGCAGGGCGGGTCTGTTTGGCCGCGTGTACTCAATACGTCCGTGCTCTTACCTACCTGTTTTCCTACTTTGAACTTACAAGAATATCAAAGTAGAGTCGATTTGGGTATTTGTTCCGCCCAAGACTGGAGTGCAATTTCTGGTTATGCCTCGGAACTGTGAGGCTCCGTTGAAGGTCACACAATGGCTTCCCTTGTTTTACTCACTTCTTCACGAACCCAGAATTTTGCATAGTTTCCCCCTAGAAGTGAGCACTCTGCGAAGGGTCTATCACTGCAGCATTTCTTTTGTGCTCTTGTGAAGTTAATAATCCATTAGGCAGAACTGTGGTTTTTCAAGTCTGGAGTTCGACAAAAAACCACTTCGGTAGCTTGGTTTGGCAAGAAGGGTGTCTGCAATTCTAATAGACGCCCGAGTGTCTTTTGGTTCATGCCATGTGCACTCGATCTCCGTGATTCAATGCTCATCAATTCTCCATCTTGTATTTCTCAGTTATCTACAAATAGGATATCAGACAGTATTTTTGATGGACAAATATTATACCATCCCGGATGTTTTGAGGGCGTGATTCTTTCTCACTCTCTCCCTTTCCCCTACATTGATCATTGTCAGTGAAGCAAACATTCTGTGATTTCCTACTTACAAGCCAACAACTCAGGAGCTCTAAATCGAGTTGTATGAGTGGCTCAATGCGATTGAACTGTCTGATCGGAGGTGCGGGGAAGCACCTGAAAAAACGTACACTGCTCGATACTGAGAAGAAATCCGTTCGGTCTAGCAGTGCTTGCAAATATCCCTCTTGTACTGGTAAATAGTTCATCGCAGCTGACCAGGCTCACACCGAAATGAATTTAACCAAAGGTGTCTACTAGTACACTGACTGGACGCAGAAGCCTGTGACGGAGCAGCGAGAACACGATCAGACCTACCTCCAAAAGCCATGGCCGGAAATTATCGTCCACGATTATGTCGAACCCATAGAGCTCAAAGCATTTGGATTGACACGCCGGAAAAAGATTGCACGTGGCAAGGATAGGGCTGAGAACACTCAGGAATGATTTCACAATGACATCTTCAATTCGTAACATCAGTCCGGTGACATCCGCACCTTCGGATCGGAGATATCTGTTGACAGAAAGACAGGAACTGGCATGGACAATCAGTCTCTATGTAGATCAAAATAGAATTTTAAGGCATATTTATCCCCAAGGTGTAGAGCAGTCAACCCCACTGACGAAAACTACCTTCAAAAATTTCTCTCCCTGGATTTCCAGCCCACCCGATTGCGTTCCGCTGCAGCAGGTGAAATGAAACAACCAGAGATCAGGGGTTTTCTTCCCCTCCCACCAAAAACATACTTTAGGCGCCGTTTTGAGCCCACCAAGATGTTTTTCACTGGTTCATGGCGACACAATTTAAACTTTTACACTGATTTTGATGTTTACCATTCAGAGGTAAGGTGTGAGACACTTTTAGATGCTGTGCCTTTGGTATCGCACACTACGCAATACGAGCAGCATAGGCGGCTTGTATGCGCATCACGGTGAAAACGGGAACACACGAACACTAGTGAAATCGACAACTCAGACCGAACAGGACATCAGCCAATCTGCATGTTCATTTAGCCTGTCGCTACAACTGGCTACGCACACCAATCGCGTAAGAGCGACGCGTGTGGAACGGGATGCGCGAAAACAAACAATACTCGTTTGCAACCAAATTCGACTTTGCGGGAGACTCAGCTGGAACCCAACTGAATCCCTCATTCATTATGTTGCTTGAAAAGATCATAAATGAGAGATCCAGCTGGGTTCCAGGGGAGTCACCCATTTCGTGTTATTTGGGTTCAAGTAGAACATAAGATTGACGGAAAATCGAGGACTGCGCCTACCTGATGAGCCCCAAGAAGGGCGAAACTGGTCGTGGGCTGTCGAAGGGTTTTCAGCAACCTTGTGAGTAGTTTTCTTCATGAAAACATACTGCGATATCTCGAATATCGTGCCAACTGAAACATGAAGCGGCCTGTGTGCGGCGCTTTCAGTTGTAGGATATCATAACGGGAGATTCAGTTGCGTCTCTCGTGAAAACCAAATTGATTTGCAAATGAGTGTATTTCTCAAAGGTTTTCCCCTTCTTCAGATTCAATATTTACCCTACATTATTGAACGGATGTTCCCAGATCCCGAAATGTTGACATTGATTCAGACCTCTTGTTTGTACATTGACAGCAACAGGTAAACCCCAGATGAATCTGTCTATACTCATCCGCAAATCCACCTGTAACCATAGTTTCGTCAAACTGTTCCAAATAACTCTTGGCATTATCTACAATTAAAGTTAATCGACAAACTATCTCATATCTATGTCATTTTGTAATCGCATGATTTCTTGATCATTCGCGCGATGAATGGATTATATGATGTGCTTGCGGTGTAATTCGCAGATGATGTATACGTTCTTGATTTACGTGATCACTTAATTGAAACTGTTTTTTGAACTTCCATCTCCCCAAATGTTTTGAGGACGTCAAGACACAGTAAATCTTAAAAAATCCCAGACGAGTGTCATAAATTCAATGAGTACCTTTGTATCTAGTTGAGAACCGCAAACTTTCCTGTATTCTTGTCAATTTCATGTTTCGGCCTCCTGGCTAGTCGCAGCATCATCAAGGGTACAGTGGCCTTTAAACTGACCAACGAACAAAGTCAGTGTGTGCTTAATTTTCTGTCCTTTGTAGAGGTCACTCATGAGATCACGCGTCACAAACACTCAAACCACTTGCAATCTGAGCCGACAAATACACCACAAATTATCATCCACTACCACTTGCGTAACGCTCCAGGCTTATGAACTTCAACACATCAGGTTAAGCTGTATTCATGTTCGTGCAAGCATCAAACACGAAGGGACACCTCTCTTTTCTCATTGCATCCAAAAATAGGCATGCAACTCGGCCTCCCAACACACACACACACACACACCACACACACAGGACAGGAAGTCAACCGAGCTCCACAAGTCTCCACGGCTACCCACGGAACACCTGTGGCAGCCATACTGCAGAGAAGACACGTCCCGCGTCCGGAACTTCACTCAGGAACTCTCAACAAGTGTCTTCAAACGATCAGTAAGTCACTTTTTGGCTCATTGCACTTTTCGCACTGTGTCTGTTTTCATCAAGTGCACCTAACTATTGCATTCATCACATTCTAGTAAGACAGATATTTGTTAGTTCGTTTTACCATCTGATAATCAAATTAATTACATCACAATTAGAGCACTAATACCTCCACAGATAGCCCAACAACCAGCATGCGTTTTGATGTTTACTACTGTCAAGTATTCGGGGAAAAAATTTGCGAAGCAGGTGAACTGGCATATTTATGTTTCATCTTCAATCCGGTGTAAATCAAGCCAGCCCTCACCCCGTTATCCAAAGGCTGGTGTATGGGTTGCCAACCAAATACAACTCAACTGGTTGGTCTAATCCGTCAAGATGCTCCGGCCGTAAAAAGTTGTCTCTTGACTTACAACAGTTGATGTCGAGTGCATCGACCTCAAATCAGGGCCTACCTATCCTAAAAACACAAAGGTGGGCACCGTAGTCACTAACTTTTCAAGGTAGGCTCTAAAAATCGGATGCTTCAACACCACAGCATTATACAAAGTGATTACTTACACGAAACTTTCCAGGAAAAAACACTGATATGCTCTTCAGTGCAATCAGTTTCTCAGTAGACGCAGAACGTTCGCTGTGCAGCACACATGGTTCCAGACTGAGAAAGCTGGCATATATGCGGTGACTGTTGAGATACAAGTTACCAACGCAAGTGACGCTTATGAAGAACTGAAGCAGTATGAAAAACCTGGGGTCGCTAAGACAGAAATCACGTTGTACGTCCTCGTGTGGTACGCTTCCCAGAACTACCCCCTACTGGTTCAACTTTGTATTGCTTCGGCCACATCCTGTCTGCGAAAGTTCTTCCCCTTCCTGTTTGTCTCGAACTGAAACTGTGGCAAGGATCGAAGACGTTGGCAAAATGTAGACCCGGATGTTCAGCACTGATTCAGGTGAACAGCTGATCACTATTGTATAGTAGAACACAAACACTAGTCGTGAACTTGTGGTTGTATTTCCAAGGTGATGAGTTAACTCAAGGAGGCTCTGGATAAACCTTCTGGTAGAACTGCAGTCATCTCCCAAGAAGGCTTAGTATGGAGTGTTGTTTGCTACTTAGCTGCCAGAATCTTTTGATCTGCGTTAGTGATTCCAACACCCACCCACCCCCACCGAGGCACTGATTATGTTGTTTCTGATGCTTAGAATATTTGTTTAATGTCAGTCTGCACTGAGTAAACTATCTGGAGCTGCTACTGACAACTTCTCACGTCAAGTAAAAAACTGTCACGCTTGTTTTTTGTGGTCGTTGCTTGCGAACATGAAATTCTTGGTTACTATCTCCATAACAGCTTGTTTATCTCTTAATTGTCAGTTGAGATTTCATCATGTCATGAAAGCCAGTTTATGCAGAAAAGCCGAGAAGCACTGCAAAGCTGCTTCGTACCTACTGGGAGTAATCAACAGTGCGCATCTCACGAAACTCAGAAGGTCTCGAACTCATCGGCTTACTGCCAGTTTGGTCACGAGCGGCTGATCAGCCGGGTGATTAGTTCTCACTTAGGCAGGACATAGTGCCACTCACCCTTCGATCACAGAATCCACATCACGTGGTCGCGTATTCACTGGCCGATCGAGTGACAACTACTCAGAAGCAAGTTTCACACATCCGTTGAAAGTACCCTTCCTCTGTCTCAAGGCGAGCCAATCAGACTGCTGATCAGCTGCTGGTTGCCAAACTGTTGTGTCGAAACTACGAACAGAAAAATCGATTTCCGTGAGACGCGCACTTCTAATGATTTCCCAACAAAAATAAAACAGTAGTACAGTTGTTCTCGGTTTTTCGGAATTGGTTGGCTTCACTTACTGCAGGGCAAAATCTCAGTTTGGCGTTGGAGATTCAAATTCATATTGGAAGAATTCCTTGTGTTTCGGTAATTTCTGGAACCTAGAGACTCTCACGCAGCTAAATCAAAAGACTGTTATTCCAATGTATTCTCAGTTCTGCTAATGGTCATTTTGTTCCGCCGTCTGGCAGATCTCGAACTTTTGTAGAAATAAAAGTTTCGACTCAGTTACCGATCTGAATTACTTGATGGTTCTAGACTTAATACCGTTACCGACCCACCAACTCAAGGCAGTCGGTTCATGACCGCACCAACCACTCTCAAGTCGATTGACAGAAAATGTTAAAATCTGCGCAAACGTCAACTAGGTAAAGTTTTTATGAGTTACAGGACAGCATTTCCAAACCACAGTAGTGTTTTGAACACTGTTGCCAACGGAAAAACCATCCAGACATAAGGACAGTCAAATTAATTGTCTCTACTGTTCTGGCCATATAATAAAGCGAGTATTTCGCAATAAGGAGAAGGTACAAATACACTTAAAGCCATTAGAAAAATTGCTCACACGGACGGAAACTTCACGGTACATGACATACGGGGATGGCGCTTTAAGAGCTGACGATGTGCTACTTGCATGTCCCATCAGTAGTATACGCCGATGAACTGGTAATTCCTACTTTAATTAACTCAGTATGTTAGACTTCTTTGTGAACCTTGTTGAAATCTTATACACACTAAACTACGGCATATTGTGCTGTGTCTCGCTTGTTGATTAACTCTTGATATAAGGTAGGAAATGACACACTCATTTGCACACGAATTCGATCTGCATAATAGACTCAAATGAATTCGGCTGAATATATCGTTTGTGACGACAGAAAACTAGGGGGCTGTTAATCCATTATTCGGTCCTCCTTGAGTGTTTCAGTTGCGATGCTGATGAGAGAGAAGAGAATTTCTGGAAGCATGGTACTCTGCGGCAGGTTCAGTCAACCGGTGCATCGAACTGGATCCAATTTACGCACCTCTACGTGCAAGAGATCAACATCGCAACCGGAACACTCAAGGAGGACCGAATAATGGATTAACAGCCCCCTAGTTTTCTGTCGTCACAAACGATATATTCAGCCGAATTCATTTGAGTCTATTATGCAGATCGAATTCGTGTGCAAATGAGTGTGTCATTTCCTACCTTATATCAAGAGTTAATCAACAAGCGAGACACAGCACAATATGCCGTAGTTTAGTGTGTATAAGATTTCAACAAGGTTCACAAAGAAGTCTAACATACTGAGTTAATTAAAGTAGGAATTACCAGTTCATCGGCGTATACTACTGATGGGACATGCAAGTAGCACATCGTCAGCTCTTAAAGCGCCGATGATGTCACCTCGATTGGTGATGAAACGTTTGCAACCAAATTGCCCAGCTCAGCGAACAAGCCAACGACCATCTACGCTACCTGAGCTACCGACATTCTCCTCTATATGCCCAGATGTGTTTACCACCAGGGTTTTGGAACACTTTGCACTTGAAATTGTTTTAGCGGTAACACTCACAGTGGATTCCCACTGTTCGTGTTGGTTTTCATTTCTTCTGAAGGCTTCTTTCTCCGTGGCACTTAAGCACTGGTAATGGTATACTACGAATAACTAGCAAGCCACTGCTAATCATATGGATCATTTCATCCTATGTTAGGTTATTTGATAACCACGTGATCTGGATTGCGCAACCCATTGATTCATTCGATGCTTTGTTTTAGCTATAGGTCACTGTAACCTGGGGCTTTTCCATTTAGAATCACAGATACATTTTCCTGGGCGAGATGTTTCAGTGGTAGTGGCGCGAATATACTATCCAAAAGATCCGGGGTTCAAACCCTACCTCTGCCAATTGCCTTCCTCTGTCTAGACTTGACAAACTGGCAGTAGCCAAGCCCTCGTGGTAACTGGAAATCAGGATCTTCGTGAAGCGATTTGCGTGTAACGAATTGATACAACAACTTGTTTGTAGTTCATGATTGTTCACAGCTTCTGACCACGACCGGCCAGGTTACCTTGGCTCGTCCAGATGACTTATGTCTTGAGAACACATGACATCTACGTTAACTAAGTATATGGGCTCATTAGCAGTTGTTGAGTCAAGCAGGCCCATACCTATCACCGCTATCACCATCGTAACAACACTTGTGTAGAAAAGTGTCACCCCACAGCCATGCAGATATTTCAGCGAAGTTGAAATAAGGAACATGACGTTTTGAGAGAAAATGCGAGATGGTGATGGAACCTTGGAGTCAGGTCTTCAAAAGCAATCAAGTTACCAGTGGCTATATCCTGACTTCGTAAACGCTGGTGACGTCATTTGACTAGCCTTTTCTGGCTCAGTATAGAAGAGACAAAACGCAATGTAAAGTTTAACAAAAATGTATCGTATGGTTCCCGTATTCTTCTTCCACCACGTCAAACCTTTCCTTCTCAAAGACTCAAAGTAAAGCGAGGTATACGGGTCAAGACCTCCTAACTGAATCCATTCATCGACTCGTTTATGGACACTAGATGCATGTCTAACCAGAACTAGCACGAAGAAGTACATACAAGCAGGATCACATGAGCGACAACCAGGTAGACATGGGGATCCCTAGCATTCATTTTGACGGTAGCCGCTTCCATTTCGCGTTGCTCTGTCGTGGCCTGCCACCGTTCGCTGGCGTGTAATACGTCCGCCACTCACCTCAGTGTGATAAGTTTCATCCGTTACTATAGAAACCTCAATACACCACGAAGAAGTCGTTTAAACATCACGTCGTCATAAACTTCCCGCAGCCAGATTATTCTTGCTAAACTACGCAGACACTAGCGATCAAGCGTGCCAAGATGCCTAAGGTACTCAAATGGGAGAAAGCGACCGTGGAGTAAGACCGCTCTCCTATACTCAACCTCTTAGCTTCAGCGAAATTCTGCTTTGACGCCATAAATGACGCAATTTGCGAACGCTGCTTGCGTTTTGTTAACCAGTGCACCAGCTTGAGCCGTTACAGTCATAATGCCGTGAGACCAAAATAAGTGAACCAATTTCAAGCTTTTATGCCATAGTTTAGTTTGAATCAATACATCCTCCTAGGACATCCCCCTATGGTTAACGGAGCCGAAGGTTTGTTTAAAGTCCAGGGAGACCATGATTGTTGGGTGTCGTTATAACGAACACGGCTAAGGCAGTCGACGTAATGTAAAGATATGATACGATCTTATGTCAGGTTGAAATATAACTTAGTGCTCCGCATTGCATATCGCGTGCCAAGGATAGACGGCACAATACAAAGAAACCAAGTAGACGTTTTGTGACTGGTTACCCCTATGGTTGAAGCAAGCTGTTTCTAAATACCCAGACGCCCAGCTCTTTTAAACAGGTTCTTGCTCCCAGATGAGCAACAATTCTTGCGGAAGCGCATCTAGTCTAGCGACTCCGTAGTGCATCGAAGCTGAAAGTAGATCATCAAACGAGTGGATCTGAAATCATGCACCATGGCTCAAAATAAGCCAGTCAAACGAAACACACAAGTGCAATGGCCCAGAAACAACCAAACTGCTATTGAAAATGTTCTACTCAGCAAAAAAAGACTTTTATTCTACATTAGATTTTCAATGTTATCTTCGAATGAGTTGCTTGCGGAAGTCCTTTTAACCTTGAATCAGCTTTCATACATTTTTCGGTTCCACCACAAGTCTCCGTGCAAACACAGGCAACGTTTAATAGGTCAGCCAGCTGAATTTCACTCGGCATTAGGAAATGAGAATGATCCATTTGAAATTCAGTGGCGCTCGTATGTGTGCTTCGAACCACCACTAGCAGAGTTCTAGGCGTCGCGTGTATCTATAGTTTTGTCATCCCAGTTACAGTCAATATCATTCAGACAGGTCAATTGTAATGCACATATGGTTCACAAATCCTCTCTCTTTTGGGCTGGAAGCGCGTTTCTAGGGGTTTACCTGCAAGGCCTAATGAACAGGTACATAGGAGAGCGTAATCTGAATCAACCTTTGTATGTAAGAACGATTGTCAGTCATGGAATAAACCTCGCTTACGGCGTATGATGTCAATGTGGACAGCTTGACTCCAAGATTGTTTAGCGGTAGGAATCACTAGATAGCACAAGAGCACCGATTTAAACTCAATGCTGCTGATCAGTACAAGCCCACTATCATCGTGTATTGCGGTCAGACTGAACAGACAGCCAAAGTGTGCTCCTAATGATCTGAGACATTCTACCTGTGTAATAAAATATCACAGGCACTTTGTAGTAGACGAGGCGGTTAGCCTTCAGTAAAAGGTTTTTTGCATCAATCGAAGCCACAGCCTATTAGCGCATAGGTAGACACGGTGAACAACGAGCTTAATATGTGTTGACCTGTGCAATTTATTATTAAAGTAGGATTTTGCAGGGCAGAGAGGCGACCGTTTACGAACGCCCTGTGGCTTGAGAACTTAAAACTATACTAAAATCAGTGCCATCTGCTTAGAAAGTTTTCAAATCAATCGTAGTTTGTGGTCTGTAGCGCCTTGATATGGAATCTTCCGTAAACTTAATACTATGCTTGAGTAACATGGGTGCAAAAAACGCATAACGACAGAGCATCTAAAGAAAGCACAAGGACAGTTCGTCAAACAATCTAAGTAGGGGGGTTTGCATTGAAACCTGCATTAAGAAACAGGTTAGCGGAGCCTAAATGGTAGAAACAGAGCGGCAAATGTGAAGTCAGTTTTGTGGATGCCTGACTGAAATGCTTACATATGTGATCAGCATAACAGTGACTGTCAAGTGAAACGGGACGGGAGTTAAGGAACAAAAATGAAGGATGAGGGGCATCAACAGTTTCTACTCATCCGCCTTGATGTGTGCAGCAAAGAAAATTACCTGGATGATGTCATCGCACGACGAACAATGTAACACCAAAACATTTTTGACCGTAACGTTTGTGATACTATGCGAACTGAGATACTGACAACGCTTCCAAATCTAGATAGTAGGACGAGCGCCATCCTTAGCAAAATTCTGGCCACATACTAGTGGATTGAAGATATCATTTTTAAGGACTGAAGTGCTACATTTGTTCCAACCCTCAACCTAAAAGAACAGAAGACTCTTTGTCATAACACTATCCATTGGTTAACCTGGCAGAAGAGACTGCTGAAAAAGTATCCTCCAGTAAAGCTTACTACATCGATGGTGTACAAAAAGTGTCGCATCGCGATGTGGTCTGAACCACTCGGGACAGAATGGTGAACTAAGGTTCTCTACATGCCCAATAAAACTGCTCACACACGCCATCCAAAAATTCTCAAGGTTATTCCACGCCCAGTTGAAAAACGAATGTAGGTTAAATATAAAGTTTATGCCAAATACAAAAAGGGCAACTAAAAAGGTACAAGATGGTCTTCCCGGGTTTGTAGCACTTGCTTTACAGCCAACTTTATTTTATGCTTGTGGAAATCCACTAGTTAGCCATAAAAATAGTTTATACTCCATTATGTTTAGTAGATGCTTCAAGAAGTAGATTCTCGTTGGGTATAAGCCCCATAAAACCATCTCTAATTCTCAGGAGGTTTATCTGTTATGTTAATTTGGAAAGTTTCTTTTAGAATCTAAAAAAATGGTCACGGTATGCGAGCAAAATTGTAGCCTGGCTAAATACACGCATATTAATTTTAGTTATCACTGTGTAAAACAAGTAAGCGCCTTCGGCAGTCAGTCATCCCATAAAAGCGTTCTGAGATCTACATCAATGACCTCTCTTCAACAACGTATAATCACCCCGAGAATTTATACTACATCGAAAGTTACGTACACTGCTGTGCCACCTGTGAGGAAGAAGTAAAAATGCTCATTATCCCTGATGTGTAGACTGTTGCTGATACGACAGGAGAAGTATCAGTGGTCATCAAAATTCCTCAAGTTGAAAGTGAAACATAGTTTGAAGCAGTGCCGACAAGGCACATTATCCCAAAAGCGGTGGAATTATAACAGCAATCTCAGGCAACCTAAACTTAAAAAATTGCTAAATAGAACCGCTAAAACATCTATCAGGTGACCTAGTTGAAGCATGTTCAACTCGTCCAGAGAAAAATATCTATATGATATATATGATATATATAAGATTCACACAAGCGTACCTCAGTAGTGCTCCGAGTGACCACTTGTTCCCATAGTCCTCAACGTTTGCATCATCATTGTGTACAAATTCGAAATTTTTCTTATTGACGCTATAATTCGTTAGATGCATGCATTGACTTCGCAGATGTTTAAATCCTGGTTGATATCGAACAGTCGCAAACCTGACCAAACCTTCTTCGTATATATATAGAACAAGGGGATCATACGATGTTACTGCAGCGTAAATCCGAACGTCAAACTTAAACCCATCGAGAAGAAAAGGATTACTAATATATCTGGAAACAACGACAGGTTCGTCACATGGGATTTCTTCTGGATGAGAAATGAGAAAAATGCCTCTTCCTCTCGAAGACGCCATTGGTTTAACAATGTAGGGTACTTTATCCTGTGCGTAGGCGGAACAGAGCTCCTGAAATTCCTCAGGAAGAATGAAGCTTGGTGGAAGGATGTCAAACTGATGGAGCCCTTTAAGTCTCTGCATTCTGTGAACGTTTTTCGCCAATCTATCCTTTCTCGTTATTTCATAAGATCGAGGAAAGTGATTTATTTTGTGGAAATCGGAAAGAATTCTCAGTTGGGTGGGCCTCAAATGGCCACCTGTCCAAAGAAGATTGAACTTTCCCAAATGGTTTGCCGACTCCTGAAATCCATGTGCAGATAAGATATTTCTTATAAGCTTTGATTCCATGCGCACCAATCGATAGGACATGTTATAACATCGACCGAGTTTTTCCGCAGCATCGCATTTCCCAAGAATGCAGGATTGGGAAAAAGTCATCACAGGAGTTCTTCGAAAATTACCAGTCCACATCACACCTGGTTCATTAGTTGGAACGTGAAACAATGGAAGCACCCAAGATTTTCGATGATCACTTGGGTGGTTTTTTCTAAAATTGGTCTCGTGTTTTATGAAGTCAGAGCTTTTGATCGAAGCGGCGGCAGTTGATTTTTCGTCACATATATCTCTCCCAAGGGTTCTTGCATCATCCCTTTTATTTTGATCACAACCCACCGTAGCACAGTCACTGTTAATACTTTCTACGCTGCCATTGTTCGAACTACAATTGCTTGTCTCACACATTTTAAACTCAGGTTCCCATATGGTACACAGTCAATAAAATTTTTTCAATCATTATGGACGAAACCTGAGGTAATCGAAGTGAGCCGTGTATCTTGTGGATGAACGGAGTTTTGGAAATCAAGCGACCGTCACAAGTTTGTAATGTGACGCATAATTGAAGCAATCGAATGCGATGCTAGCAACATTATTTTCATTAATCGCGCATTAAAACAAAGGCTTCTGTACCATCAGTATTTGCGAAACAGGGGGCCGGTGAATAGTATTCTGGACAGTCTCTTCCTAAAGGCAAGTATGTGGGGTGGAAACTGAAGGGTATGAGGCGGTAGTACTTAAAAAGGCTCAGATGTTTTTACACTGTTTCAAAAATTACTGATTGATATCCGGGATCGAGGCTTTCGATCAAGCTTCCCAAGTCATGTTCGTTTTTGTAATCCGGCGGCTTCCGGTAACCTAAATGGCACAAGCGAAAAGCGTGTGCATCACCGTTCTTCAAGTTCTCGACTCTGCGAATTAGGCTCGACAGTACGAAAGCCCACATCAAAAGGCACCAAAAAGGGTCTTGAAATTATTTTCGAAAAGGTTTGGTGACAGTGGGTAGATTTATTGCTGGATAACCATTCGCTTTTGGCAAAAAAGCTTTGTCAGGTCAAGTGGCCAGGTTCCGAGGTTGGTGGAGATTTAAGACGGAAGGGGAACCAATCAGCTGAGTAAAGCTAAATATCTGTTGGGTGTCGGCCCAGGATTTTCGGTTTGTTAGAGTGGTTGGACTTAGTTCTAGATGAAGAGTGGACAATCGTAGAAGGAGTATTATCCCATGCACCAGCTACCCGAAATGGGAAAGATTGTTATAATACTAGTGCACTACCAGTTTGTCCGCCCAACAAATTCGATGTTTTTTTCGTTTTCCTCCCATCCTACGTCGCTCAAGGAATACTTACACCGGACTCCGCCCCGACAGTGACGTTAATGATTCCACCCTGTTTCAATGTACACTGTAATTCTGATATGCCAGCCACCGGTCATCCTATTCTGAAGTCTCAGTATCCTCCAGCACCCCTACCATTGCTTTCCGTGACCTTGAACATTACCTCAACTTTGGCACTTCATAGTGGAGGACGTCCATCTAAGGAATTCTGGAAATAATTCTCAGGGATGATTTCTCCAGGCGGAAGAAAGTCATCAAGGTCGTCAATCACAACGAGTTGGGAAAACGTCGCCTGGCGTAATAATATGTGGCGAATTGGGGTGAAACGTGAGTCGTTTATAGACGCATGTAGTTCTGTACCTGAAAGCATTTATTGGCATTCCTGGGGTCTTTACTGTACTTTTTTACGCTAAACATGCTGAAGCCTCACTCTTGTGATTAATCCCCTTGTGTATGTCCTTCATGGTTGGAGAATACCGAAATCTGTGCTCTGGGATCTAGAGAAATGCTATCCCAAATAATCGTTGAATTAGACACATACATCCTTTTTGGATTACTCGTGCTAGTTTCGACAAACGTAAGACTTCCAGATGATGGTTACCCATGCCAGTGTATCACGTTCTGTGGTAAAATGCGGCTAAGATCCCTATTGTGAGTGGCTAAACCTGCCACAATGATCCTGCCGTTGGCCATATCTGCGAACCGAATGAACCTAGCTGCGGTTAGGGGCTTATGATGCCTAATTATCTAGCTATATGTAATTGACGCCAATCATAGTAGATTGCGGAGTGAACCTAGCTCACGCATACGACTAATAATAATAGATTTATTTCTCAACCTTCGGGGAAGATGCCCGTTGAGGCATGATTGGGCCGTTGCAAATCAAACGCGGTGGGCAATGATACAACGTGGAGGAAGTTAGAACCAAGTAGACGCGCTTATCATGTGGAAAGTCATCGTACTTGTGGAAACCAAAAAACACCACAACAATGGGGCATAAGATGTTAGTGCACTAAGGAAATTAGTTGACTTGAACTGATGCTGAAAACTAAAGCTGCCATGAATGTTTGGGCGGTTGAATAAATGGCAAGGGTCGCAAACAGCGAAGTTGAGATGCAGATGGAAAAAATAGAAGTGAAGACTAGTGGTCAGTTTCTTTCCAAATAATGGTTTCGTTGCCGGAGGAAAATCAGGGAAATCAGAATATACCCCCGATTTCGTGCATGTGGCCGAATGCACACTGTTAATTTAATCGCTGAACTTGTGGAAGTTGCAACGGTGCCATCGGAATAGATATGGTGGTGCCATGCCATCATAGTACTTGCATACGCTGGTTTCTGGACAGCTCAGTAGAGGACGTCAAGGCTGTAGCAATCACACAGGGGTGTGTTCATTCTCGTGGTCGCTGAATTTGGTTCAAACGAGAGGGTTGAAACGGGTAAAATCGGGCTGACAGAAAATCACGGTTAACTTTGGTCCGGCTGCAGATCCACGTGGATGTAAAATGAGGACCAGTCAGAATAGAGGACGTTCAGGCAGGGCGTTCAGAGCATCCACCGCTTTGAAAGAAGAAGGATTGTGATGAGATCAGTAATGTCCGGCAAGTACCGGAACCTATCAGACCAAACCGTCTCTCGTTGAGAAAATGCAAAGGAGAAAAGACCTTGCTAACGCGTTTTCTAATCACGATTAAATCCGAGCCAGTAAAACGGCTCAGTTAGTTTGATACAAAAAACCGATCATCGAAACAGACAACTTGTGGGGGCGAGTGAAACAGTAGCAACAATTTGAGCCATGGAAGTGGAGTGAATACATTCAGCGCGTGTGCACTGTAACCCAGCGACGTCGAATCATTGATGTGAATCACCATGTTTTGCGTTTGAATGGATGAGCTGTAGAAGCAATCAAGCATTTTACTCGTTGCGCATTTTCAGATCTACCACGCGTAGTCAGAGAATATAGTGTAGTTCTGGAGTTGCCAGACTGGTTCCAATTAGTTAGACCTTGGCAAAGAATAGCAGCAGACGTAAACACAGAGCTAACTGACTGATCGGGACCCAAATGACGGGAGCCAGACGTAGGTTGTCTGGGCGCGGAAGCCTAACACCGAAATTAAGAAAAAAAGGTTTACTGGAGATGGGCATGCAAACTATTACGGGGGTTGGCGATAGACGCTCTGGGCAACAAACCTGTTTCCAGGGAGAAGGTGCAGATGCGGTGCCAGGTAGCGGAACCTCTCCATAAGAGATAGGTAAGAAGGGAATGAAGATTATTGTGTAAGCTATCTCAAGTGGTGGTTAACACTAGAAAGACCATGCTGACACGCACATGCGGCAGTTGTGATTAGAGCGCAACCTGAAAGGGCTTAGAACCTATTTCATTTTATTTCAACCTGTTAGGCAAACAGACACCCGAATCCCTCAACAGAATTAAGGAAGTGAGTAGGTTTCGAAAGCCTACGGAGAGGAAATAGTATGGGTATGGGGGGTAGGCTTGTTCCTTAGCTTGGGCTACAGGCAAAGCAAAATGTTTTGTCAAAGTACAGGTCGACAGGCCGACAGTGGGAGCGAAAATCCGGAGTTGCATGAAGGAAACTCAAGAGCATCCAGCTATGTGGGAACGCCCACAGAGCTATGCTGAAGACTTGGCTTTAGCTTAATGCAACAAAGGATCCGACCCAAATGGAAGAATGATACCGGAATCAGTGACTTAGTAAATGAACGTTGTTTATTCTTCAAAGCAGTGCAGCAGTTCCGAAATACTGTGAAGCAAATCCAGGGCCAGTTTCCAGACTGTTTTTCACAAACTGCTTAATACGGTTTACTGCTGAATGATCGGCGAATGGAAATGCAGGACTTGCAGGCATTGGCCGATTCGTACCACAAAATATAGTGAAAGCAAAAGGCAAAGAAGTACCTAAGACCTCGGCCTATTACTTCCGGAAGAATAGGAATAAACAGTCTGATAAGAATTAACGCTCTGGGAGAAAACTAGAACCGATACAAGGGAGATAGTCATTCTAAAACGGCGGAGAAAATAAGAGAGCTAGAGGACCAGAGGGATAAAGAATCCAGATCAGAAATATTGTTAGCTATAGTGGAAACAGAGCCACTAGCCTCTAATGTGCGGGTAATGCCAATATCGACAGAAATGGAAAAGCGGATCCACTAGTGATCGGCTAAGTGACATATTGATGTGCAGCGAGAACGGTAGGAGGCCAAGCAAGCAACACCGGAAAACTGCTTGTGGTGAAAACTGGTTATCAGGAGGAACCGCCAATTTCAGTAGCTTGGGTTTTTCTGGCTAAGTAAGAAACGACTCAACGCAGACGCAGGAAACCAATCCCTGTAGATCATAATTTTTTTAGAATACCGTTGGAGTTTGACCAGGCGCCTTGCGACAGGCAAAGATAATGCACTGTCCGGTATCGTTATTGGATGAAATATGATGAAAAAACAACCTTGCATGTGTTGACTGACCACCGCACCATAGCGCAATATTGCTTTGCTACAAATATTTGTGGTGAACAGATAAGGCACTCCGATTCACGGGGGAGCAAGTATGGTGGATGCCCGGGAAAAACAGCCGGAAGATTTCGTGGACACAACGTAAAGCGTGGAACAGCTTCAAAGTGCTTCCACTGACTTTTGAATGTGCCGCTGATGAGCGACGGAATAAAGAAATGAAGGGAAAAGGTGAGAATGTTCCGGTCACCAGTTTATATGCCGAACAAAGGGATACCAGCAGTGCCTCCAGGGATTCACGGACTGATACACAGGATTGAGGCTTTTGCCCAAGTTTCCCGGGTCGCTTTTGTTCTTGTCGGTCAGTGGCTGTTGTTCACCTGATAGGCACAAGTGAAAAAGGGTGTAGCACTGCTCT